AAAAAATTTTCAAATCGGTCTAGCCATTCCTCGTTTAAGTGGGACACACACAACTTCAGTAATTGTAGACGATACCTTGCCTTCTGGGTTGGGAAGCAATAAGCCAGTGACCAGCAAAAATCGGCGACGAGTCTTGTCACATTAGGCCTGGACTTTGATAACATATAGAACGTTCTCTTAAAGCCATATTGTAACCAAGTTGTTAGTAGCATTAAGGTCAACAACTCCGACTCAACAACTCAACTCGTCAACACTACCGACACTCTAACCGTTAACATATTCAGAATTCGCAATGTAGAGGATTTTCCTAACGGGGCTTTAACTGTCAATATATTCCGAAGCTTTCCATGCTCATAATTTCTTCGGACATCTATGGTGCACTTTTGTACGGAAAATTTCGCAACAGTTTCAGGGGACTCGGAAAATGAGTTTTTCGTTTTATCAAGGCTTGTTATGCCGAGGTCTCACTATATTTTTTAATTTCTTAATGCCAAATTTTATCTGTTCTTCTCTCAAGGAAGAAAAGGGAATGAAAATACAAATACTCTCACTTTCTCCCTTATCAAAATATAATATTTTGACATTTGTATCAATAGTAATTCCACCTTGTATGTATGAATTCGCCTTAACAAAAAAATTTAATCAGGAAATTAAAGGTTCGGTCATAGATTACTGGATTGGACCATGCAAAATAGATTTCTGAGTAGAGTCCGACCGATTAAAGAAAAGAATCGGAATCGCCCGTTTTTGGCCGATTATTTTTACTTTTTTTGCACTGTATTCCATGTTATTATTTTTTACTTTTTTAATTCCTTTAAATCTTAAAATATTAATGCATCTGAGTCCCCCTGTCATAAATGTGTTCTCATGTTTCGTTTTTATGATGTACGGCGGCGAGAATGTAAATAGGGAAGACACATCGTAGTAAGTTTTCGCTATTTTTCTTTGTTTAAATAATGTTTATTACTTTTTTTATGAAAATATAGCTTACTATCTAAATAAAACCATGTAAATCAAAATTTCAAACTTCGCAGAACAATTATTAAAATTCGACAAATTTTAAAAAATGCATCAAAATTGGAAACTGTTTAGTAAGATTTTATAGAACTTTTTTGAGTATGCAGTTTTTTAATTTTAGTATAATAAAGGATTTTTGGCAATTTTTTGTTCACGCATTTTCTTTCATCAAAGTATGTTCGAATTTTTTTGCTGTATGGAAAAAAACAAGCAACACCTTCCACAAAAAAGTTGCCAAAAATCAACGGTAAGTCCTAGCTACTTAAAATTTACACTTCGTATAATAGAATTGAATGGGCTATGAAGCTGCATAATCAGAATGTTTCTAGAAAATCGAATTAAAAAGCTGTCAAATTTTGCTAATTTTGGTACAAAGTTTGAAATTTTTACTTACATGGTTTTTGTTAGATAACGAGCTACACTTTTATACAAAAAAATTAAGTGCGCCTGGGCCACACTGGAGAAGTGAAACTTACGTTACTTATTTATTTTGTCTCATAACCAATGTATACATCCACACATCTGCTTTTGTTTAAGGTTATATTTTTTTATATCTAGATTCCTACCCTTCCCCTGTTCATTTTAATAACATTCATGTTATTCTGTTTTTCCATTATCTTCATTTTTATCTTTGTACTCTACCGATAACAAAATCCATAACAACGTCCAACAAAATATCGATAACAAAACCGATAGAAATATCGATAAAAATTTCAATAGCAACATCGATAATGCCATTGGTAGCAAAATCGATTAGAAAATCGATAAATATCGGTAGCAAAATCGATAATTATTGATACCAAAATCGATAAATATCTATAACATAATCGATAAATATCGAAAACAAAATCGATAAATATCGATAACAAAATCGGTAAATATCTATAACAAAAAAGATAAATATCGATAACAAAATCGATAAATATTTACAACAAAATCGAAAACAAAATCGTTAAAAATTTATAATAAAATCGATAAATATCGATAACAAAATCGATAATTATCGATAACAAAATCGATGAATATCGGTATTAAAATCGGTAAATATCGATAACAAAATCGATAAGTATCGATAACAAAACCGATAAAAATATTGATTATTTTATCGATAATCCCAAAATTGGGTCGCTGTCGCTCTATACCCTTCCTCTTTATTTACCTTTATTTTAATCTTTCTTCCCCTATCTTCATCTTTACTTTTATCGGTATCCTCATCCTCCTCTTCGTCTTTACTTTTATGTTTATCATTTTCTCCAGCTACATATTCCCCTTCACCTTTGCCGTTATATACATAAGTGAAGTATTTAAATTTACCTTGGTCTTCATTTTTGCCTATATATTTACGCATCTTTGTTTTTGTTTTTATTTTTACCTTTGCCTTTATCCTTTTCTTATCTATGTACGTACTCACCTTTACTTTCATTCTTGTACTGGTCTTTTTCTAAGTGTTATTCTTTAACCTTTTATTAGCAAATGTTTGTTAAATTAATACCATATGCATACACACGAAGCACCTGTTTCAGCCCAACCATTTGCGTTGCACCATTCCCATTGCCCCATTTCCGTTGCGCAATTTCCGTTGAATTTGCCAATTTACTCCCAACCAACCAACCGCCGCTAAAGAAGTTTCACTTCAAAAGTAATAAACACTAAGGGCTGGTTTCTCCCATGATACAAAAAAGAAGGTAGTTTCAATAAACAACTTTTGACGGATAATAAATTTTTTTGAAGTTTCATAAATTGTGAGTATTATCATCGGCCTTGCCACTTTGATAATATTAAAACAATAAATCTGAGTATTTTCCTTCCCATATTTATACNTATAAACGACGATATGTAAGTATAATTTTGATCACTTTCCTCATGCGTTCTGAACCCTAGTCATCAACCCCATTTTCGAAATTATGTAGGCGGTATAATTTTAAAGTCCATCATATTCCACATCTTTGAATGTACAGATAAAATCTTCTGCTTTCAAAAAAATATTTTTTCTAGTGATCAGGTAGCATGAATTTGATGAAATGTCATAATTTTATTAAAAGTCAAATGGTTAACAACAACAACGAATGTCATTAAATGGAACTACCTTCTTTTTTGTATCATGGTTTCTCCAACTCAACTTAACTTAGTTAAGCCAATTTTCTTGACTTGGTCAAGAATAAGCTGTGTAAAACGTAGGCTAACTTTTGACTTAAGTCCGAAAAGTGGCTAAACTAAGTTAAGTTGAATTGGAGAAACCAGCCCTAAATAAACGAAAGGGAAATAGCCAAAGAATGCTAAAATGTCTCTTCCGAATTTATATTTTCAGCACTGTATGTATTATTACGATTATCGTTGAATTTATCGCTGACTCCCTAAACAAATCGCTGAATTGGAAACACATTTATATTTAGTCAGCAGAACAAAGTATTTTAATGATATGTATGTATAAGCGATATGCTATATTTATGTATGTACACAAATAAGTGAACAGATTCTTTTTTTAATGTTATTTAGTTATTTGTTTATGTTTTTCTTTTGTTATTATTCAAATATATTAAAAGCATTTGTTCCTGAATGAATTTATATTCAGGTAGTTTTTTTTTTAAGGAATCGGCATCGGAATCGGAATTGGCCGATTCTTTGCCCTACGGCCGATTAATCGGCATCGGCCAAAAATTGGGAATCGGTCGGACTCTATTTCTGAGGTCTCTACGCTTTCACTGTATACTGTCAAAGTATACTGCTATGTACATTAGATCGTACCACATTACAAGAAACCAAAAAAAAATGTTAGGCGTATACCCCGGAGTCCAAAGTATTTTTACAAGGCAATTTATAGAAAATGTTTACTTTTAATGACCGATCTTTGGAGTCGCCTTTTTACATTTTTCGGTGACACGTACATTCGGCAATAAAAAAATATTTCAAAAAGTTCTACTGTAATAATGAAAATACTTACTTATCAAAAGTTTAATGATTTTTGGCGAGTTTTAATTTAATGACATTAGGATAGTACAATAGGCACGTAGGAACCGAGATCTGGTGGGTAAGTACTAGAACGACGTATTCGAGGTCAATGAGCTTTGGAACAAAAAATATATCTTCTCGAGACAAGAATATGGATCTATCATACTTTAAAATCGGACTGCAAATGCTGAAGATACGACGAAAATTGATAAAACGGGATCTCTATCTAAAAAAAAAATCTCGAAATTGCCTTAGAACCTAAATACTTCCTTAGAAAGAGTGTAATAATTTTTTGCGAGCTTTAATTTACTGACATTAGAAAGATACGTTATGGTGGAAGGAACTGAGATCTGATGGATAGGTTCTAGAACGGGTCCTTGAGGTCAATGAACATTGGAGCAAAGTTCACCGATATATTATACTTTAAGATCCAACTGTGAATGCTGATGATATGACGAAAACTGTAAAAAGCGACCTCTACGTTCGACTAAAAAAAAAATTAATTCGAAATTGCCTTGCAAAGTTTCTTAGACTCAAGGGTACACGGCGAACTTTTTTCTGGTGCGGTATAATATACATATGTAGTAAAATTTGTTTAAACCAAGTGTTGTTAAAACTCCTATTTTTAAGTTTCCCATTCGAGAGTAATTTGTAAATTTATTTAATTCGCAGCTCTTTGCTTACTTGCAATGGAAAACAAAATCGCTTCCCTATAGTGCGCTACGTTCTTTTTTCTGTTTAAAAGCCTAGCTTAACTCTACGCCGACATTTGTATAACTTACTGACTTAATCGCGGGCTTACTCCAGCTTCAAATGCTTCCAGCAGTTGCGTTGCATATGCTTAAGTAGTATTCAAATTTTGAAAAATTTCTAATCGAAGCATTTCTCCTTTCTGTGTTTTTCAAAACATATTTTCCATCTGCGAAAACACCCGCTTCGCACGTTCAACCGTTTTGTACTATCGGTTGTTTGTTAAAACAAAAAATTTACCATTCCATAAAATTTTCACACCTGCACCATCTTCAAATGTTCAGATGTTCGCAACGATGGCGCCATTTCGCCGGCGGCCTTGAACAAGTTAAACATTCATGCCCAGGAGTTCACAATGGGTGCCACGAACACAAGACGTACTACACCTCCACGTGCAGACGCTCGGTAATTGTTGCCTCTCACAAGGCTTTGCTAATAGAATTTTGCTTTCGATTTTTCATTTACAGAACTTAACTTCAACCTACAACATTCTTCTAGTTCATCAGCAGTCATCTATCCTGGATCATCTTCGCCACAAGGTTTGATCCCACAATCCAAATCATCGGTGGCTTTGCATCAGCAAATGCAGTTTATGGCAGCCACAAATGCGATGGCTAATCGTCGGCAGGCTGGACTTTCGCTCGGCAGTATGCCAATATCGAATAATGCCATGGGCGGCGCCAAGATGCATCACGTCGGTGCGCATCGTCCGATTTGGGTCACACATTCTCATCCGATGGCTGTGAATCGTTACTCAGGTGGTGTATCGCAGCAAATTCCGCTAATTAATTCACCATCCAGTGGCAATATATTACATGTACGTTATGTTATGTTACGTAATTTAACATATGCTAGTTGTTACCCATTTTGCCAACATTATTTTTGATTTTACAAATTCGTATATCTTTTTACAGCAAACAGCCAATACGAATCGCGTGAAATTCGCCAATGAACCGCAGAAGCATCACAGTCATAAGAATGGACAGAATCACCTCAATCATGACTATCAACAGCAGCAACAGCAATTGAATGCCATGTCACAGTATGCGGCGGCAAATGGCATCAATACAGACTCGTACATAAATGTTAGTCCCCTGCAACGTTCCAAATCATTGTCTTCCGCCGATGCGCTAACACGTGGCATTGCCGGCCTGGGCTTGGCCTTGGGCAATGAGGTCACTGACATCGGTCAATTCACGCCGGAGATACAGGCACTGATCGACACTGCTCTGGAGGATCCCAACAAGTTAAATTCGCGTGCGCTTATGGAACTGACGTCACACTTCATAAAACGCGCTGTTGAAGGCCGCCGCTATGCTTTGCCCATCTCGCGCTTGTGCCTTAATATAATAGCTAAGGAGCAGAAGGAGACCTTCTTGGAAGCATTATTGAATACATGCCGACAGTGGTATCAGGAGCGTGAAAAGGTAATCAAATTATGCATAGATTCATTGCAACTACTTGTGCTTATTTTGCTAAATGGATTACCTAGAACGTGAAGTCTTCTTATTGCTTTCGTTTCTTCAAAGAGTATGGCTAACCTACAGAAGATTTCTAAGAGAGAAAGTTCCCTGGGAAATTTCTACCGTTTGGATACGGGGGCAGTTTTACAAGTAAATAACTGCTTGAATAAAAAATATATTTTTCGAAAGAAAGTCGTTTTCTCTCTCAACAAGGTCTCATTTTAGCTCAATACATTCGAGCCCAGCACTTTTTTCCAATTGTGTATCCCTTCCAAATTAATTGTAGGTTGGTTTTCTCAAGATCCTTAAAACAGGTACTGGATACAGTGATGACCGCTTCCTTCGGTTTAAATCTTTTACCACCGAGCCTCTTCTTCAGATTTTAAAACATGAAAATGGGCTCAATCTAGGAAACATACCAGACGAGGGAGCCATTCGTAACCTAGTTCAATTTTCAGATGTTTTATTTTTTTTTTTTTGTTCTACATTTTTTACGTTTTTATTAAAAAGTGTTTACAATATTTCTTCTGCAGCTATTATACTCCATACAAGGCATGAAATCACCTTCACGTCTGCGCTTTACCGCCTTCATGGCTTTCCTAACTGAAATGTTCTGCCAGCTGAAACGTCGCCAGTTACAATTACGCACCCAATGCGAAGGAGCTCCGCCGCCTCTGGTCCTATTGACTTTGCTCTCAAAATGTTGCGAAGACTGTGTCAAACCACCTGTTCGTTCACTATCCGAGGTGAGTAAAATGTTACATATTTTTATTTGCTTAATATGTTTTCTTAGCTATCCTTAAATTGTACAAGAAAAGATACGCTTTCACTATAAAAGAAATGAGACTGTAGCCTCTGTCAAGGTTGCCTTACAGTTTGTCCTCTAATTACATGCCCTTTCAAATTCTAAAACGCCCTGAGTTGATTACGGTCTTAAGAGACCATTGCGTACCGACAGGAGACTTAACCTCTCATATTCCTTTCGAATCGAAGTTTGAAAGGAGAACAATCTTAGGAATCAGGGCTCCGTTAATTTATTCATTCACGGATGGAGCTAACTTGAGTGAAATGGAAAATTAAGGTATTTTTTTCAAGGACAGGGCACCCTTGCTTAGCTGTTAAAGAGTGTGAGGGCCACGTATAATGGGATGCTGGAAAGATGGGCGTTTAGTCAATTCCACAAGCGTTGGATGGCTAAGTCCTTCTGGCCCCCGTTCTAATGAGCTTTTGTAACTCCATTGAAATTGTTCCCACAGAGACACTTGAAAATGTTGTGAGAAAAATTTGAGTTTTGACTGTTTTTAGCTTGTAGCCAAGGCGGAAATTTGTACCACGTCTAACTCCTCTTGAAGTAACTGCCGTCCCTAAATTATCCGGCCAAGCGCCAAACCAGTGTCAAAAATCCTCATGCCCGTACAATTTGTATGGAGCATCCCACAATAACGCGGCGCTAGCGCCGAGCAAAGCTTTCATGCTGTGGGGGTAATTTTCACGAGCTGTCATCAAAAAAGCTATCAGAGCACGCGGGTAGGCAATTGAGCAGTTAATCCTACTCTCGACGAACGAAGTCTTAAGTATTTCTCTTTCTGATGTATGTCGAAGAAGAGTGACGAGGATATCATCTGATCTGATGGGCCTTCGAGTGTACGAGAGAAGGATTAACTACTCAATTGCCTACCCGCATGCTCTGAGCCTTTGCGCATTTGTGAGGACAAGTACTGGAAGTTGTGGCACCCTGAATTGTATTAACTTAAGACACAGAGGCCATGCCGTGAAAGTATTCGATGCGGTACCCACTGGTAGCGGTAAACTACTCTGTGTTTGAAAAAGCTGCAGTGAAATTCGGTCAATCGCTGCGCTTAATCTTCGTCGCCAAAATTCTTTATATGAAAAGCAGTAAGACCTAAGAGTATACAATGCCAAAAAGTAACCGATTCCGAGTAACCGATGGTGATATGAGGGACATGGTCAGTTGCTGTTGGAGATGATGGGCTTCGCTTTGTTTCTTATTCATATCAATTAGCGAGAAAAGTGATGTCTGGCGTGCTATGATGAACTCGGCCAAAAAAAAAATTTCGTTTCTACTCATTTCGATCTTTTCCGGACCTCATTTGTAAATAAATAAATAGGAGTGTTCGCTATGCCAAAAATTTGTACAAGTTGGTACCAATTGTTACCAAATCGTGTTCGTTTAGCCAAAAACCCAGAAAACTTGCAAGGAGAGAGCACAATTTTCACATTTCATTTGGAGGGGAAGTTGTAAATTCGTGCTGGGAAAATTTTTGCCAGTAAGAATTTACAAGCAGGATTGTGGCACACGGTTGCATTTTTGTCAACATTAATTTGAATCAACAAGTTCGTTAAATTAGAAATGAACAATCTTGTTGCGATTTACTAATTCAATTAATTCCAAACATTTGAAAGGTACTCGGCTGAAAACTGGCAGTTGCATAGCGAACACTCTTAATATTGTACCAGCATGCTGGTATGCTATATGCTTCGAACTTGATGGTACAACCACTCGAAGGTGCCAGCAAGCTGGTGTCGTGTATTTCCCCTTTCATATACAAACCGTTGAGAACCGTTGCCAAGCAAAAAAAAAAACTCAGTGCGTGTAGTCCCTACGCGCGGAAGAAGTGAAACTTAATAGAGGAAATTCTTCATCTTCATCTTCATCTTCACCTTCATCTTCATCTTCATCTTCATCTTCATCTTCATCTTCATCTTCATCTTCATCTTCATCTTCATCTTCATCTTCATCTTCATCTTCATCTTATCTTTATATTTGTTTTTGATTATATTCTTGTCTTTGCATTAGTCTTTTCCCGCCCAATTGGCGTTTAACGCAGCTATTCGTTTTCTATACCCGTCATATGCTACCTGTACCGTGGCGTTAAATATTTATCGCAAACATAACGGAGCTATAATAATAAGATTTGCTTCAATAATTTGAGTTTAACTTTTTAAACAGGTGGCCACCCTCTTCAGGCACCTCAAAAATATTTTCTGTACTGTATAGTATTTTAAGCGTAAGACTTTTGTATAATTTAACTAAATTTTACTTTTGAAACAGGTGGCAACCCTCCTACATTTAGCTAGAAAATACAACTTATTCAAAACCATTTCTTTTGATACCCATATTGGGATAATTCGTTTAACTTAATAAATAATTTGAATTTGATTTTCGTATATATGGCAACCCTTTAAAATACTAAAACCATACTGCACATCTGCAGGTCAAGCCCTTTCATATGACACCTCATTTTTGAAAATCGTACGAACGATACAGATTTTATGACTTGATGTTAAATATTTTACGCAACCCTCTGCGGCAGAGAAATTTTGAATTCGATTTTCTAACATGTGGAAACTCCTTTCATGGAACTAAAGCTACGTTGCACACCCGAAGGACAACGCCTCTCATGTGACACCTCATTTTTAAAAATCGAACGAACGATACAGATTTTATGACGTGGTGTTAAATATTTAACGCAACCATCTCCGAACTCGATTAAGAAGTTTCACTTCAAAAATATTAATTCACATAGGAACAAAGCCACTAGAAACCCCAAATCTAATTCCAATTACATGTTTTTTTACAGATCGAATGTCTTTTTTATGTTCTCACCTGCATCGGACTGGATATGGAAGTGCAGCTGCCACAGCAGTTGGAATTGCTGTTGTCGATGGTGCGTGATGCTTTCTTGAATGCAAGTGACGCTGCACCAGCTATTCGTCGTACTTTATTGCAATTAATTGAGCTACAGGCGTCACACTGGCAATTACCCGGAAACACTGTCTTATACTACTATCCATCGGCTAAGTAATAAGGCCAGTTGCTTGTCTGCATATTAACTATAATAGACTCTATCTACACTGACATACTCGTCAACTCTCTTGAAACTGATGAAAAAATAGGCTTTGTATTACTGCTCAGTTCCCACAATTTCTTATGCACTCAATCATTTCAATTTTTTCTTGTACGAGTATTTTATGTAGCTGGTGGCAATTCAAAACAACGTATGATATGAAGTTGTGCACTTTTTTAATAATTTTAATTTACTTACTATAAAATGAGACAATAATATTTTTTGTGAAAGCATTTACTAAGAAGGATGCGAGTATCCAGATGTGTTGCTTCGTAGAAGAAAGTCAACCTTAGTAATAAATTTAGGCTGAAAGTATGAATATATTAATCGTAATTTGAGACAAAAAGTACTAACCGTAAATGATAGTCATGACACAGACATACAAATAATATGTAGTACTTTGGAAAACACAAACTTACGTAAATATTTACATGACTCCGCTACATACATATGTACACATGAGACCAGTGACACAAATATGACAAAATACATTCACACATATTTATTTGTGAAGTTATTTTAATAAATTAATGAAAAATATTGCGCTGGTCATCCTTACGCTAAGCTCTATTTATATATATACATATAGTAAGTACGTATGTTTCCGTTTTTGTATATTTTTTTTTTTGTGTTTTGTCTGTGCTGATTTATATTTATGAAACTTATTTATTTTGCATACTCGTATTCCTAAAATTTTATGTACTAAGTATGTATTTAGAATCTTATTAGAAAAGAAGCTCAAATTATTTATAATATGTACAGCATATACTTACATACATGAAAACGTATGGATGTAGTGCACACTTATGTATTTCTTAAAAGCATGCACGTCAGAAATGTTTAATATATTTAATAAACATTAAAAAAAAATAAAATAAAAATACTAGTCAAAGAACAAGAAAACTAACAGAATTTTTTGTTTTGAACTCTTTTCTGAAATATTATAATAATTTTTATAACTATAGAATTAATTTGATTTCCACCATTTCACACCAAAAACTGTGAAATATTTTTCAGATGTGGAACGATTTTTCCCCACCAAAAAACAAACACGATCTTTTAAGTGTAATTAAAAAAATAAATGTTGTGTGTGGATCTCACGAGCGACTGAAGTAAAATTTCTTTGTATTACGGTATACCTCAATATATTCTAAGAGTATTTTTCTGCATAATATGTAACAATTAATAATAATAATAATAATAATAATAATAATAATAATAATAATAGCTTAGCGCTTAACAATATCTTAGTATTCTCCTCCGATTTGTGGCTTGCGCCTTGATTAAATACAATCGGAGGTTTCCCACATTGCTTGCCGAGAGGCGACCCCCATCAGAAAAAACTTTACCTTTCTTTTGTTAGTCGAAACTGGGCTCAACCCCAAGGCCCTGCGGATGGGTAGTGCGCAATATGGAAAAATTATCTTAATCTTAATCGCAATCTAGATCTCAATTTCAATCTTGACTTGAATCTTAATGTTAACCTTAATCTTTGTCACTATCTTAATTTTAACCTTGATCTTAATCTTATTAATCTTCGTCTTAATTTTTGTCTTAATCTCTGTCTTAATGTTAACCTTAAAATTTTAATCTGAATCTTTATTTTAATCTTATTCTAAATTTCAGTCTAAATCTCAATCTTATTCTGAACAGTAATCTCAATATTAATCTTATTTCCAATATTAATATTAATATTAATCATATTCTTACTTTATCTTTATCTTTAAATTTATCTTAATCTTTATCTCAATCTCAATCTGAATATCAATCGCAATCTGAATTTTAGACCCCACCTTAACTCTCAATGGAAGTCCTAATTTTAATCTTAATGTTCATCTTAGTCGCTATCGTAATCTTACCAGCCCGACCATCACCAGGTTTCTTTTCATGTTTTTTTTTGTTTCATTGCAGTTTGGAATTAGAACTCAGCGATCGTGTGGCTTTTTCGTTACATCACTGTTTGTATTTATGCCCAACCGAGAGCGCAAAGATGTTTTACTTCAAAGTAATTCATCAGGTAACCTCTAAGCCTTAACTGCGGAAAAGAGCAGGCAAATAGCACCACCTAGAAATGTTTGGTAAGGTTGTATTGGCTGCCTACATCCAAGTACGGGATTGAAGCACCCGGTGGCCTACGGAGTCCCGTTTTAATCCTGTTTAGTTGGATCAATTTTGATTTCAACTGTTTACCTAGAAATAGAACTATTTAGTTAGTCTAATGAAGCGTTGTAGTAGTTCACAACTCTTTGTCGTGCTTAGGTCCGATAGACAGTCAGACAGTCGAAAATATTCTGAAAACACCAAGTCAAGCCAGACCTGGGCATTGGAAAAGAATGTGCTCGATTCTTGTCACGACAGCTGAGAGCAGTATTTAGTCATTCGCCGGAAATCCCATTCACCTAGCGTGCGTTCCCATGAGCAAGTGGCTCGTAATGATACCTATTACCGGTCATAGTTGGGGTGTTCCAATTGACGTAGAGCGTGTGAGAAATTACCCAACGAGTCACAACCGACGTCACTGCGATTTAATGTGCACCGAATAAAAGTACGTGTTATCGCAGAGTCGGAGTGCTGACTCTGCCTCGAGGTCGTGTAAACTTCCGACCACACTCTTTATAACGGGCTAGCCTTTGCTAGATAAATATTAATTTATTTGAAAGCTCCAATGGTCAAACCCCTATTAATAAGGAATTCCACTACCAAGGTCCTTTTTGAATTCATAAGAGAAGCCTAGGGTGTATTGCTTCCGTCTTGACATTGTGCAAAAAGGTAGACGCGGTATAATTCTTCTAAGGCGGATTTCATTGGAGTAAGTTTTGGAGTCAATGTTTAATCCACATATTATTTTTGTATTAAACACTTTAATATGTTTTAACGGTTTCGTAACTAGGCATGTGAGCATTTTCGCCCACTAGCTTGCACCATCTAACTAACTACATACATACATACATATATACTCGTACCCATATAAATAAATATTTCAGTTCAACCTGGATGTGCGCCATAATGTAGAGCGGACATGTTTGCAAATTGTTTACAGGAAGAATGTGCCCCAAAATTGTGAAAAATGTGCGCAAATGTTCGTGAATAACAGTAATATGTATATATAAAATAACGACCGTAAAACCAAAAGATCATAAGCATATTAATAGCAATTTATAACAGTTTTGCGCTAATTTCTTGGCAATGGGCGCTTAAGCTAATGTTAAATATATGTATTAGGTACAATAATAAAAGTGGCGTTTTAAAGTGGGAAATACTACAGAAAAATATATGTACAATAACTACGTGAGTTGAGGAAGCATATCGATGAGGATGCAACCAAGCGTTTGGTACCTGGTTGTTGATAGTCATGCAATTGGTTTTTGTTTTTGTACATACATGTATGTATGCTCATGCATATATGTATACGTATTTATTTATAATACTTATATAAAGCCAACATTATGTAAGACTAGGCAAATTCAGTTTTCAATAACACTTGAAACTATTTTCAGTATGAGTTAACAAACAATTATAGATACAAATGCATATATGTACATATATATATATATATCTACATAATGTACGAGTGTTAAGTTAGCAGATAGCATCTAATACTAATATATTTATGATTGTTTGTATTTTTGCACATTGAATCCATATCTGAACACGCATATTGCGCTGAAAGGTATGCTGAAGCGAGTGAAGCGCAGGCGCATGCGCAAATTAACTAGTTGGTAATTAATTGCTAATCTGTATATTATGATGTACCACGTTTCATACAAAAAACTTTTGAACGCTTTTCCCAAACGAATCATGAAATTTCGTCTACATAAATATTTTATAACACTCACCAAAATATTTTAACTCGATTCAAAATCAATCTAGAACTCAGCCATGTGAAAAATATTTCTTAAATTTTCGAATAAATAGTCCCAGTAGTATATTTGATACTCGACGTCTTCAAGATCACACAGGGTGATGGACCAAGGGTGTATGGTTTAAAATTGACAAGACTAGTTTCACCAGGGTCCTGTAGCGCACGGTGTTTCGACTATGGGGAGATGGGTGGAAAAAGTCATGGTGATAGTTGATAAAAAAAGCGTCTTAAACTTAGAGAGGGAAAGTAAAAGTCGTAAATACAAAATTGCTCATAATTTACTCACCCCTCTCTTACCGAATGGTAAATTTCCAAAGGAACAACAGAATCCACGCCATTTCGATTAATCCGTTTAGTTGTGTTTTTTATCATTTAAATATTTGGTATTTTGTCATCAAAAAAATTTACTCGGAAATGTACAAGCTTTATATTACACAGGGCAACACTGATTTTGGTGCGGCAAATGTTAAAGCTGTTTTTGATGGATAGGTATTTCAGAGATAGTAGTAGAGAGTCGGCCGCTGTGGTGTTGTGGTAAGCAGTGCGCGCTTCTACTCCGCTGCACCTGGGTTCAAGCCCTGGTCAAAGCAACATCGCAAATAAATTAAGAAAAAAAAAGTTTTTTCTTAACAGTGGTCGTCCCTCGGCAGGCAATGGGAAAACTCCGAGTGTATTTCTGCCATGAAAAGCAGCTACTCTCATAAAAATACAATCGCCGTTCGGAGTCGACGTAAAACTGTAGGTCCCTCCGCTTTGTGTGGCAACATCAAGGTGCACGCCACAAGTCGGAGAAGCTCGGCCAAACACTAACATATGTGTAAGCGCCAATCCATTATGTTGGCCTGTATTATTGGAAAAAAAACCGGTTCTTAGATCTAGTAATAAGATGCAAGTTTTAGAGAATTCCATGCAGTCCCCGGATATGTAATTCGATCTTTACTGCGACCTTGCAAATATAGGTATTTTTCGATTTTTATAATTTTCAGATTTATTTTGCGTAATTTTGCGAAAATAATTTTTCGAACGACGGAAAAGTCATCCTATAAATGAGAGAAATGATAATATTTACACGTATCCAATCCCATGTTCCAAATTTTGGATGGAGAAGACAATCGTTCTCCAAGGTGTATTAGTCTGCTATTCATGATACGTGGGCAGTCTAGTATGCTCTGTGGTTTCCTCTACCAGCCCTCAAAACCTGCAGTCCGTCTCTACAGAGATCCCCATTTTATTCGATTGGTACTTTAAGTTGCTGTCTCCTGGCAGATAGCCTGTAATAGTTCCAGGCCCCTCCCGGCTAAGTTCAAGGAACCTTGCGGAGTTCCACCTGGAAGGAGTTAGGAGTCTTATTGATTATCTCATTCCCTTTGACTTCTGTAGTTCTGCAGTGTATCCTTTAGATTTACCGCAGAAAGGCTCGGAACCATGCAAGCACATATGGGCTCCAGTCAGTCCAGTGTGAGACAGTCAGTCCTTCCATTGCCTTTAAACCCTTCATGTTCCGGAACCCACCATAGTGTTACGTTGTTGTGGGTTCCCTGGTGGTTCAAAAGAGTTTTACAGATATCCACAAGCCTTGATGCCGTTTTAAAAGGGTCTCAGACCTTTAACGCTGACTATCCGTCATAATATTTATTCTGGACCCATTTATCCTTCTACGAAGATATTCGCGAACACAGACTTCGATTGCGAAAGGGTATGTGCCCTTTGGTAGACTTTTCTGGAATTTGAAATCTGGAAAATAGACAAAGTAGGAATGCCTGGAATGACACCAAGGGCATCCGTTGGACAGGTGCGCATAGCTCTTGTGATGGCCACGCAGACCAGCTGGTGCAGCTTGCTCAAGGTGGCGCCTAGCTTTTGGCCACCAGGCCAGTGTATTTGTCCAAGGACTTCCACTTCAGCTTATTTACCAAAAATTCTTTTTTAGGCTTTTTTGGTGTAAGCTGATTTTTCGACAGGGTGGTGAAAAGATTTACTTGGAACCACTTTCCGTCATGGAGGTAGTGCCAAATAAGATGGAATTTCGCCGAGCTTCTCCCCCGATTTGTGGCGTTGGTCTTGTTGCTGTCACACAAATGAAGGAGCCTACAATTTTACACCACGTCGTGCACGGCAAATAGTTTTATGAGCAGCTTTTTCAAGGCGTAAACGCTTTCAGAGTGTTGACATTGTTGCCCGAGAAGCGACCATTAATAAAAAAAACAGCTTGCGGACGTTGCTCAAAGTCGAACTTGCGTTCTATCGAATACTTCTGACCGCTTTGGATATGGCGACTGTCAAAAAAATTAAAGGTTATGGTTACCTCGAATTTATTGCTGATAAAACCAGACAAAATCGATTAAGGTCATACTTGAAGCCCGGAAAAGTTCGGGAAAGATCGCATTGACGAAATGAAGAGTGCTGCCGAGTGTTTGGCGGTATTGGAAAGGAATAGTTTACTTTGCACTTGTACTGAACTAACGTGGGTCTAAATCACGGCATCCGTAATCGACGATTACTTGGGTCTTATTACATTGCACGCAGATCTCTAAAGCTAGTTATTTTTAAACGTTAAACGGCCCTTTAGAGGTAATTTTGACGTAGTTCAGCTCAGGAATGGTCTTGATTTCAGGTAACGTATCTTGGTGGGAGTCTTAAAATATACCAAACTATATGGTCCGCGCAAAAAAAACAGCCACTTTTTAAATGAGGCAGCCTAATGTTTCTAGCATCTGTGTTTGATTGCAATGCTCATAGCTTTGCCTTGCACTTGAATCAAAGCGCAAAACTTCACTTAACTCACAGCCATACCTCCTCCACACACACACACACACAAATAATTAAAATCAAAGTCCATATTTCTGCGTCTGCGTTTGTTTTACGAGCTCCCTCGAATTAATTGTTCTACTTTTACACGGAATTGCTTTGAAAGTGAAAAATCCAACGTTGGTTATAAATATCGAAAGTACGTGCAACACGTCAAACAGTTTGTATATCGTCGGCAAAGAGTCAACACTTTGGCATACATGGAGGGTTTCTAAAATCAAAACGAGCAAAATAAAACGCACTTGGATTGGATTAAACGCATCAGCAAACGTCTATGACCCCCAACAAGGATAAAATGCATTTCCAGCTGTCATTGGTAGCTATTCCTTCGACTGCGTGTGTTTGCAAAGTCATTCATTTCTGTTTTCCTTTTCCCTCCCCTTCACCTTACCCTCAACCACCCCATAGCATCATCTTCTGCTTCGCTTACGCCTGCCGCTGTTGCTTCTCTTTTTCCTCTGCTACCTCGCGAGCAGCCAAGCCAAAAGGAATTCACGCCGCCTACCACGCGATGAGATCCACGAATACGCCATACATCAGTACAACTATGCCGAACGCGATATTCAGGAAGCGGATTTGCAGGCGCAGGAGTCGAAACGCGTAGAAATTCATGTAAAACCAGCACCGCAGCCGGCGTCACCGTCGCCGAATGGCAACAAGGATATTGGAGCGCCGCGCGGAAAACGTGGCGCCAAAAAATTTCGTCACTTCGTGCATGTGGTTAAACCGGCTCACAGCAGTAACAAGAAGAAAAAGTCAAGCGTCGCAACAAGACACAACAACTATCAACATTATCATCAGCAAAATGTTAACGGTGAAGGAGGCGCTAAGGAGTATCACACCTACGAGGAGACCCATGAGCATGTTATGGAACCAGCGGAAAAGTACAGTGCCGCCAGCACATCTGCACAATCTTCAGAATTCCATCCATCGACTATATTTTCACGCTCGCCGGCATATGACGCGCCCAACTCCGCGACGACGCACAGTGAACCGCAGACGCAGGCATCAGAAAGTTTCTCAACGCACGCCTTTCTCAAGCCACCCGCAGTGCCTTACGAGGACGACGCTCAAGTGAGCGGCTCCGAACACCACGAACATATGCACGAAGAACACGAAGAAGAGAAAGAGCATCAACACGAAAAGATCAAAGTGAAACATCACCATCATCATCATCATCACAATCACGTAAAGGAAATCATTAAAAAGGTGCCCGAACCATATCCCGTCGAGAAGATTGTGCATGTGCCTGTGGAGAAGATTGTCGAGAAAGTGGTGCATGTGCCCAAACCTTATCCGGTGGAAAAGATTGTTGAGAAAAAAGTGCCCTATCCGGTGGAGAAAATAGTCGAAAAAATTGTGGAGAAGAAGATACCATATCCGGTGGAGAAAATTGTCGAGAAAATCGTGCATGTGCCAATGGAAAAAATTGTGCATATTCCAAAACCGTATCCGGTAGAGAAAATCGTTGAGAAAAAAGTCCCCTATCCGGTTGAGAAAATTGTTGAAAAAGTTGTGGAGAAGAAGGTACCATATCCGGTGGAAAAAATTGTCGAGAAAGTTGTGCACGTACCAAAACCCTACCCCGTGGAGAAAATTGTCGAGAAAATAGTGGAAAAGAAAGTGCATATACCAGTTGAAAAAATTGTGGAAAAAGTTATACACATCCCCAAACCATATCCTGTAGAGAAAATAATCGAAAAAATAGTGCACGTACCAAAACCATTTCCAGTTATCAAGCACGTACCATACCCGGTAGAGGTTAAAGTGCCCGTGCATATCGAGAAACCTGTGCCTTACCCCGTGGAAAAGAAAGTGCACGTACCTTATCGGGTGGAAGTGGAAAAGAGAGTACCAGTACCCTATAAGGTGGAAGTGGAGAAGAAAGTACCTATTTTCATACATGCGCCACATGAATCATACAAACATCATGAAAACAAGGAGGAGGAGCACGAACATCACGGGCATGACGAGGAGGATAAGCACGATTTCGAAGATCATGACCTATCCAGTTTTGCCACCAACCAAAATGCGAATTACGCGAATCTACAGCAACACCAACAATCTCGTCTTGCAGCGAATGCTGCCGGCGCATCATTGCCGCCCAAAGCACATGCACCTGCAGCGGCAGCAGCAATACGCGCCGAATTACTAAACCAACAAATACAAAACTTCGGCTATAAGAACCCCACTGCCTCAACGCCAACGGACCTCGACCAAGCAGCCTCGAATAATAATCCGTCTGTGACGCATTTCGAGCCAACGCCAGTTAATATTTTTGGCTATAGGAATCGCAGCACTTCAACGCCTACCGATCTCGATTCATCAGCTTCAGAAAATAAACCAACCGTGGTACGGTTCGAACCCACTGCGCTGCCTTTCCAAATACACGTCGATGACGGCGTGGAAGCCGAAAATGGCGGCTCATTGAGGGAAACACAATCTGCGGCGAATGATATGCAAGCACAGGCTAGCACTCACAGTTTCCGCATGTTGGCGCGCCTGCAGCCCATCGCTTTGCCACTGCACGTGTATCAGCTGCATTCAATGCCGTTCCAACAACCGCTCGGTTTCTCGTTACCAGCAATGCAGACCTCGTTAACGAGTAACGGTGCCTAAAATGCCCCAAGTATGAACACCAAAGACGGATAGTAAGACTGAGCAGACTTAACGCGTAAAATACTTAGTTTTAAGAAATGGTTTTTTAATTTATAATTTTTATTTAACTTATTTCCTAAGATAAAATCTTTATATGCATTTCAAATCTGAGTTGACAGAATTATGTACATTTGGAATCGTTGTTCGATAGATTGCCGCTTGGTAGATATTTTTTCCATCTCCTTCCTTCATTGGTTGATTTTCCAACTTTGTCAACGTCACGAGAAAGGAGATTATACGATTTGTGTAGCCCTACATACTATGTCGACAAAAGCTGGAACCTTTCAATAACCAACTGATTGAGCCTAGACAGTGTGACTTCAGACCTTGAAAATACTCCATTCATTTGATCATCACCGCGAATCAATTCTTAGAGTAGACACGTGATAAGCCAATCACCTCTCACAGAAGCTGCCTGTGGCTTCGTCCAAAATAAGAGGAATCTCTCCGAGCCGTTCGAAACTAGGTGAGGTTTTAAACCAAGCGATTCCTTTTCGTGCGACTTCTTTGGTCTGCTGTTGCAAAGCATAATACGTTCAGCCCATTCGAATCAAAATGTAAACCAGGATAAACCAAAATATCTCCTGGCGACACAGAAAAATTCTTTGCGTACTGGAAAGCACGTCACTATTATCAGTTATAACCAGAGATCGAAAATAACCGTCACCAAGTGTCTCGTATGGTGTTTACCACTGACACAAACACTCATCTCTCAAGCAAGGAGTGTTTCTAACCGTGGCAAATCACTCTGTGCGATCTTTTTGTGTTTTCCGTTGTGGGTTATTTATCAACTGCTAAAATTTCACTTGGGCAAAAACACTTTGGCGTTTATTTTTAAGTGTCTTAATTTGTGGGTTATTGTAGGACTGAAAAATATAAGTGGGCATATTAGAAAAAAAGCCATATTTCTAGTAACTCCTATCTTTGTACAACATAGAAGTATGTCATTTACTCATTCCTTCTTCTTAAACGATGTAAGCCTTCAACTTCATAGAAATTCATATCTGTCGGTATAATGTTCAAAAGATTTGAGTTTCAAAACTGTGTAGTAAGCATCGTACAGTTCCATAAGTAAAGTAACTCTTCTTCTTACTGTTTTTTTTTTTTTGGCAGGCTGTAGGTGTGTTTTTGGTTAGTGTATTGGTGTTTTTGGTTCAGTGTGTTAGTGTATTTTGAATAAATTGTAATAGAAATAAAAGAAATTGTAATAGAAATGAAAGATTTTGTAAAAGATAAGAGCACAGCCAAAAAACAGGTGATCTCAGGTGTAAGCATTTTTTAGCAATCAGCTGATAGTGTTTTTACTTATGAAACTGTACGATGGTAGTAAGTAATCACATAGTCGGGCTTACAGGATTTAGTTAGTCTGTTCCAATAGCAGTCCGGTTTACAGGATTTAGTCAGAACTTACAGGAAGTCGTTCCTATTGACATAAAACCTGTTAGTGGGGCCACTTTTGAGAGAGTAACTGAGCAACTGTTCCTAGTCGGAAGTTACAGGATTTAGTCCGGAGTTTTTTCCCTGTAAATTCATGAAGTGTCAAACGATCAGCTGCTTGCATGTGCAAACAAAAACAGAAAGCGGTGAAAGCAAAAAACCTTGTATTTGTAAAAAAAATGAAAGTAAACAACGAAATATTTGAATATGTATGGATTTTAATAATCAGTTAGTGATATTTCAGGCAAATCAGTGTTGTACCAATGACATGTAAACAAACCGACTGAAGGTTTTACAGGAAATAGTGCTTTTTGCGTTCCCGTTCACTTCTACATTTGTTCTCCTTTTACTCTCACTTGAGAGTAAAATTGTAGTTTGACAGTTCCACAGGTTTTAGTCCGAAGTTCAAAGGAACAGACTAATTATTAGATCGGTACTGCAGAAATTGTTTAGACTCCAGTGTACTTATCGCTTTAGTTAAGTTGTTGAGTGAAATTCGCACTGATTGATTGGCCAAGATAAAACTATAGTGTGAAGCGGAAATTCGTGCAGCGCGAGGATTCATTGCATAGCAGCTAAGACCTAACTTCCTCAGTGTGTGCTTCTCGCACTTGTTTTAGTTTTTCTTGCGTGTCCGAATTGGAGTAAGCTAAGAGGAAAATATTCAAATGATTCCACTCTGCAGTAAGTCCATATATCTATGGCAATAAGCATTTAAAGCAGTGGTCGGCATTTTAACATTTTCAAACGATTCAATAAGTGAGACTGTGTGCGTTAAATGCACTGCTCAGCTTCCGCTCTTCGTATACGTGTGAAACACACATGTGCTCAGAGAGCGCTCAGTGAGCTATGGCCTGCCGACCACTGATTTAAAGCAATATTAGGTCTTGCTCCATGGGTTCCTATTTAACAGTGTGCAGTTCAAACTCCTATGAAGAGCAAGCGTGACTTCATCAGCTCTCTAGATGTCAAAATAATTTCCATAATAATTTTATGGAAATATTAACCTCTATCTCTCTCTATCTCTTTCACACTTATGAGACAGGACTAGCCTGCCGCTGCCTCTGGAAGCCTAAACTAGAGGATTATGGAGAGTTCCTGCCCTTATATACTTTTAACTGCGACCAGTCCTCGAATAGGCTTGCTAGATTTTTCGCCCAGATGGAGCTCCTCTCTCGATAGATACTCAGCGTTCGTATCCCTTACTTTCGGTATGACGTCCAAGTTACCAAAGTTGATCGATTACCCATGAAAAAATTTAATGAGAACCCGGAGTTGTGGAACAAATTCTCATTTCATTCAATGTCAGATTTCATTTAAGGAAAATCATTTTCCGCGTTTTGCGGATCAAGTACCTCTCCGAACTTTCTTGGGAATTCTCGTTGATGGCGTACCAATTCCGACGGTGAATAACCCGAAAATTGCCGGAGTTACCTTCTCGGCGCACACAACAGCAATTTTCACAGCAGTACAGAGCCGCAAAAAGGCCTTCAAGTCGCTAGTCGTGAGCCAGAGAAACGTTGCTGGCAACATACAACGCAATTGGCCGTCCAATTCTAAACTATGCAGCACCCGTGTGGTCCCAAGGTACCATCAGGTCGTAGTGGACGAAGCTACAGACTTGTCAACACACGGCTCTCTGGACAGCAACCGGAAGCATTCTTATGTCGCCACAGCACCATCTACGCAACGATGCGCAAATATTCCCCATCGAGGAACAGTTCCTAATAGGGTGCCACTGACGCGGGCGCCCGAACAGCAGAGTCCTCGCCAAGGCATGTCGGAAAACATCCATACGAATTGACGGACGAAGCCTACCAAGAGGCCATAAACAGAATTCGACCTGTGAATGCCGTTTTGGGGGCATAACCACCTGACAAAGCTTCGTCTGCCTCGGAAGACTCGCACCTCCATAGCCCAACAGTGATCTGGCTACTGCAGTAAGCTTAACTCTTACCAGAGCAGATCTGACCAACGTGCCCGGCATGCGGAGAGACGCCCCACGACCCGAAACACCTATGTCATCTATACCGCACTAACACCCCTGTCCTTAGGGACTAACACAGTAGGAGTTGCCCACTTCCTGGGTCTCCAGTTAGTTGAGCTTGATGACAACAACCGGAAAAATGTTGATTTTCGTGGGGTCATTATCTTTGTTTCCCAACTGGATGCCCGATGAGAATTCAGCTTTTCAGGTAGGCGACCTCTTTTCCGGCTGATTAAAAGTCGGAATTTTGTCGCTGTCCTCATAGTCCAGTTGGTTGGTGTAGGATTAAGTTGCGTGAATTTGAAAAATCTTCACAAGGAGGAAGTCTACAACCTCAGTGGGGTGAATAAATATTAGGTCCATTCAGTAACTTTTCCAGTAAGTACTTGCAGCAGACCGTAAAAGAAAAATAGAGAGTAAAATTGAAAGCAAGAGAAAATTTTTTAACGCAAAACTTATGTAGTCTGTTCCAATAGCAGTTCGATCTAATCACTAACTAATTATTAAAATCTATACACATTCAAATATTTCGTTGTTTACCTATATTTTTTTTTGCAAATATATAGTCTGTTCCAATAGCAGTCCGGTTTACAGGATTTAGTCCGGAGTTTTTTTTTCCTGCAAGTTCATGAAAAGTGTCAAACGATCAGCTGATTTGCACGTGCAAACAAAAACAAAAAGCGGTGTAACCAAAGAACCTTATTAGTCTGTTCCTTTGAACTTCGGACTAAAACCTGTGGAACTGTCAAACTACAATTTTACTCTCTCTAGTGAGAGTAAAAGGAGAACAGATGCAGAAGTGCACGGGAACGCAAAAAGCACTATTTCCTGTAAAAACGTCAGTCGGTTTGTTTACATGTCATTTGTACAACACTGATTTGGTTAAAATATCACTAACTAATTATTAAAATCTATACATATTCAAATATTTCGTTGTTTACTTCCATATTTTTACAAATATAAGGTTCTTTGCTTATGGGCTGTTTTTGCTTACGCGTAAAAGCACATTTAGCGCATTTAGCTCTAAATGTACATTTATCCATACAAAATTCGTCACCTAAATGCAACTAAATGCAACTCCATTTATGCATTAAGAATGTAAATGCTAAAAGCAACCCTGTGATCTTCCAAAATTTCGACGATTCGAACCACGGTGCAGCGAACAAAGGTGGCGCCGTCAGTGGTACCGCTACTTTGGTTTTGCCGATTTTGGCAGTTGTGGTAACTTTTAAATAAACCTTTGTTTACAAATCTGCGAAAGAGAAATTTGAATTATAAGTGAAGAATCAGTTTAAATCGTGTTAATTTGCAATTTGTGAGTGATTTTTGAGTTGAAGACTGCGTAAAAACTAATACAATGAAGTGCTGTGTGTTAAATTGCGATAACCGTCAAGATGCAAGAAGCGTAGATGCAAGTGTAGCGCTGAGACGAATCGGTGCATTTTGTGTACATAGGGCACGGCAAAGCCGTTCCCAAAATGTTTCTCTATTATTATATTAACAGCATTTCCTCACAGTGATTTTGTTTCTGCTCCACGCAGCCTCCATTAGCAAGTTAGCTTATCAGTCCCGCAGAGATGCTGCTGCAGTTTTCTGCAGCAGCCTTAATTGCAAAGCAATGGAGTGCACTACAATGTTCACTGTTCTCTAATAGATTAGGTGAAAAATTCAATATTTTCGCATTTAGCAAAATTAAAACACGTTTTTCGTAGTAAAGTGAACTGCTTTG